ATAATTTGTCGCCTGGTTCGCCTCAACCGAATGGTTTGCGGTCTCCCTGGTGCCAGGGTTCGGCGTGTGGTGGACCGGGTTAATAAATTACTGGGAGGGACTGGGCATGACCCAGCTGTCTTGGTCCATGATGGAACCAATGACAGCATACATAGAAGGTGGAGGCTCCTTCAAAATCAATCTAAAGAACTAGGCTGCAAGTTGTAAGGAAGGACCTGCAAGGTGATATTCTCTAAAATATTACCTGTGCCATGCGCAACTCGGGAAAGACTGGCAGATTAGAGAAGTCAATGCATGGCTGAAGACCTGGTGCAAGAGAGAAGGATTTTGGTTTCTAGAGCACTGGGCTGACTTTTCATTGGAGTGCAATCTATATGCTAGAGATGGTTTGCCCCTAAGTGGAAGGGGGTCTGCTATGTTGGGGGAGAGGTTTATGGGAATGCTGGAGGAGTATTTAAACTAGGATTGAGGGGGGAGGGAGAATTAGATTATAACAGGGTTGACAGATCAGACAAGAGTTAGTACCTATTGGTGGGTGGAATGGGAAAAGAGGGAGGGAAGGCTATGGCAGATGATACAAAGGTTTCCATGTTACAACCAGTGGAATTAGTACGAAAATAAAAAATATGCAAAATATGTGTGAACAAGGTGTCAATCAATTATAGTGTTTGTTCACCAATGCCAGAAGTCTGCCAAGCAAAATAGGTGAGTTGGAAGCTTTGGTGCATGAAGAGAACTATGATTTAATTGGTATTGCTGAATCTTGGCTTCATTCTTCACATGACAGGGCCATTAATATTCCTTGCTATGTTCTCTGTCGGAGAGACAGGGGTAAATAGGAAAGGTGGTTGTGTCTGTCTCTATGTGAGAAGTGATCTCAGAGCGAGTGTGAAAGAGGACATAGTTGATGGAGAGTGTGATGAGGCATAATGATGGGTGGAACTGCACATGGGGATGCTTACTACAAAGGTAATCATTGGAGTTTGTTATAGGTCTCCCAGTGTTAATGAGGAGGTGGAGACTCAGCTCCTTGCACAGATCGAAAGGGCTGCAAGGGCTGGGACAGTGATGATAATGGGGGATTTTAACTACCCGGAAATTGACTGGAGTAATGGTACTGCAGGAACAGTTAAAGGGCAAACATTTTTAAACCTACTACAGGACAATTTTATGGTACAGTTCATAGAGGCCCCTACTAGGAATGATGCTTTGCTGGACCTGGTAATCTCAAACCATGCAGAGCTTATTACGAATGTCCATATAAAAAAAAACATCTGGATAGAATAGTTTTAATTTATTATTAGCTGTAAACCGCAAGCACACATGGGAAAAATAAAACTGCTCAATTTTAAGAGAGCTAATTTTCCAAGGCTGAGGGCTGCTCTCCGAGACTTAGACAGGGGGGGAATATTGGCATCAATGAACAAAACACAGAAATAGAAGTTCTTCAAAAAGACGGCATGTAAACACACTGCAAAATATATTGCCATGGGCAACAAGTTTAAAAATCAAACTTATGTGGCTTACGGTCAAAGTTAAAAAAGCTATAGATAATAAGAAAAGAGCTTTTATTAAATATAAAAATGAAGGAACACTATCATTGTTGATCCACATTGCAGAGTTCACACATGTTGGGGACTTTCACAAGGAGTGGACTGAGGCTGGAGTCAGTGCATCAAGAGCCACCACACAGACAAATCCTGGATATGGGCTTCAAATGTCGTATTCCTCTTGTCAAGCCGCTCCTGAACAACAAACAATGTCAGAAGCGTCTTACCTGGGCTAAAGAAAAACAGACCTGGTCTGTTGCTCAGTGGTCCAAAGTCCTCTTTTCTGATGAGAGCAACTTTTGCATCTCATTTGGAAAGCAAGGACCCAGAGTATGGAGGAAGAATGCAGAGGCACACACTGCAAGATGCTTGAAGTCCAGTGTGAAGTTTCCAGTCTGAGTTGATTTGGGGAGCCATGTCATCTGCTGGTGTTGGTCCACTGTGCTTCATTAAGTCCAGGGTCAACGCATCCATCTACCAGGAAATTTTGGAGCACCTAATGCTTCCTTCCGCAGACGAGCTTTATGGTGATGCTGACTTCATTTTCCAGCAGGACTTGGCACCTGCCCACACTGCCAAAAGCACCAAAACCTGGTTCAATGACCATGGGATTACTGTGCTTGATTGGCCAGCAAACTCACCTGACCTGAACCCCATAGAGAATCTATAGGGCATTGCCAAGAGAAAGATGAGAGCCATGAGACCGAACAATGCAGAAGAGCTGAAGGCCGCTATTGAAGCATCCTGGTCTTCCATAACACCTCAGCAGTGCCACAGGCTGATAGCTTCCATGCCACGCCGCATTGAGGCAGTAATTGCTGCAAAAGGGGCCCAAACCAAGTACTGAGCACATATGCATGCTTATACTTTTCAGAGGTCCGATATTGTTCTATGTACAATCCTTGTTTTATTGATTGCATGTAATATTCTAATTTTCTGAGATTGTGGATTTGGGGTTTTCATGAGCTGTAAGCCATAATCATCACAATTATGACAAATCACGGCTTGAACTATCTTGCTTTGCATGTAATGAGTCTATCTCATATATTAGTTTCACCTTTTAAGTTGCATCACTGAAATAAATGAACTTTTGCACGATATTCTAATTTTTCAAGTTTCACCTGTATGTGTGACTGAGAAGCAAGTCACACAGGATCCTCTGTGGTGACAGGGGCCAGAGAGAGGGAATTGATAGGCACAGCTGTAGTGCTTCAGGCTAATCTCATCCATGGGTATAGAGTGGGTCAGAGCACAGTGGGCCCTATTCCCTTCGGGGCCCGTCTGCAGCACACACTTTGCACCCATGGATGATATGCCACTGCTTCATAGTAAGAGCTTTGAACATGTGGAACAGAATCCCTCAACAGTTGTTTCTGTCCAGCTCAGTAGATTGCTTTTAAAAACAAAGGCCTGAATGCATTCCTAAATGCACAAAGTATAACTGGATACTAATATTTATAGGTAAAGTTGATGCAGGGAATAGCCGATTCCCTTTTGGGGGATCAGAAAGGAATTTTCCCCTCCGCTGCAGCAAATTGGATCATGCTTTACTGGGGGGTTTTTTGCCTTCCTCTGGATCAACTGTGGGTATAGGTGAGTGTATATGGGGGTTTTCGATTTGTGTGTGTTTTGTTTTCTGTTGAACTGGATGGACTTTTTAACCACTTGCCCTCCTGAGAATTTACCCCCCTTCCTGACCAAGTCCATAGCTACAGGGTCTAGGGTCAGAAGCAGGTAGGACACACACCAGGGGCGGACTGACCATTTGGAAACTCGGGCACTGCCCGAGGGCCCAGGGTCAGTAGGGGGCCCCATGAGATACCCCTGGTACTTTTTTCACAGGCTTTTTTGAGTTTGGGCAAGGACACAAGGGCCCCATGATCCCCTATTTCCCGGGGGCCCCATGAGTTGTCAGTCCGCCCCTGACACACACACACACACACACACACACACAATTGCTTAAAGAAAGTATGACTGAGGCAAGTATGCATCAATGAAGGGGGGAAGTAGGTTAGATCAGGGAAAAGTGGCAAAAAGGATAAGCACACCTGGACTTAAAGTGCACTAATCCTGTAAAGGTGAAGTTTCACATGTTGGAAGATATCCCATATGTTCCAAAATCGTGTGGACTATCTAGTCCCCATGTGGTCATGACCAGCAGGTTGCTGTGGAACAACAAAATGCAGGTTAATTTCTTTGTTTTTTAATAAACACAAAAAAGTAAATCATTCAGGGGCACATTACACTGGAAGCACAATTTACTTCCACTACACAAATAATCATCTCACTTAAAACAGGGCATCCCTAAAACATATATTCAGTGACCAAATAGAATAGCTATTGCTCAATCACGTGCACACTTTTATCATGAGAAAATTCTCATATATTTAACATCTACATAACTATGTAAACATTCACTGCTAAATAGGTAAAGACTAATGGTGGCCATACACAGCTTGATATTGGCAAGAAATGCAATGGATGTACCAGACAGTGCAGCCATAGCCATCGAAAAAGGTAATGATGGTAAGTGGGGTGGGAGGGTTCTGACAGTTTATTCTATTGAGGGGGCTAGTATTTTTTTTTTTTACATTCATGAACTTGTTCATTAAGCTCAGAACAGCTGATGCTGGTCCATGCAGTGCAATGATGTGGAAGGGAACCTTTTGACAATAGCAATAGATCTGCTTGTGTATGGCCACCATAAAGCTCCCTCCATTGTTTTCAAAGGGCTGTTTCCATTCCTGAAGTGCAGCACACAGAAGCCTTTCTGAAATCAAAAAGGTTATACCTGAAATTACACATAAAAGCATATAATACATTACCTATTAACCAATATGGTGGCAATTTAATAATACACATTTAAAGTGCCTTTTAAGATGATATGTTTAAATAGGAAAATATACCCTTGACACAAATATTTGGCATTGAACAACATCCTTTGAAGTCTAACCATAAACTCAATTTCTTCTTTATATGCTCTAAAAGTCTTTGTGGCCCCTATGTATCAGCTTGTAAAACTGATTAATGTATCTCCTAATTGGAAACTCAGATCTCCCCCTTATAAGATTGATATTTTGTTAAAAAGGTATATTTGCCCATTTAAAACAAATGATCTCTCAATAAAGAACAGAACAGAAGTATACATTATGCTCTGGGTGTATATTAAAAGTCTTCTTTCACCCATCTTTATATAGTAATCTCTTAACATACAATACGTCCTCTGTGTCATAGCAATAAAGCACTTAGAAGTCCTTCATTCCACGGCAGTGTACCAGTGAGAAGCATCCTGTGCAGAGCCTTGTGCACAATATTGTGGTCTGCACATCACAGCATCACACACTGCTGTTCTATTGAGAATTTATTTTCCAAAGAGGTTGTCACCAAAGCAGCAAAGCATCAAATAACTGACGCCACTCATCACTAGCGTGGGCTCTTGGTTCATGATGATCAAAAGTCAGACCATAAAACTCCTTTGCTTCCTTTATCCACACTAACAACGTAGGTACCAGACGGAGACCAAGCAACAGCATTAATGGACGAACTGTTAAAGAAGCAGAGGAAAAAGATTTTAAATGGTTTTACATTTTCTGCCCAACAATCCTAAAAAATAACAATACTGTAATAAGCAAAAAAAATCTTAATGTGTGCCAATAATGCCCAAGAAAAAAATAGACACAGGAGTAGATTTATCATGGAGGTGCCTGTTTTGCCCAAAACAAGCAGATTTAACGGTCATTGGGAAAATGAAGCTAAAAATACAAGAAAGGTTGTAATATGGACTGCAAAAACAACCTTCTCTTTTTTCCCTCATAAACTGTCTCAGCCATATTAGTAGCCAAGTATTTAAAGTGGAACTTCAGACAGAAAACTAAGTCCTGCTAGGTCACTTCAGCCTGGCCCCTTTTGCAGGTATAGCTATGTAAAACATTAAACACGGTTTACAATCCAGTAATACACTGCCTCGCCCTGCTCTGCTCAAGTTTAGTTGCTCTCTATTTTTTGGCACTATGCTAACAATGTAGAGGCCAATCTGCTGACAGCCTAAAGATTTACTGCTGCTCAGGGGCTCTGGGCTTCAGCGCATTGGCAGCCTCCAGCAAGAAGAAACAGGAAAAATGCTGGAAGCAATTTACAGCACACACTAATTTTAGTAGCATAATTATTCATGTGGATGTATGTTTCTTGCTAAACAACATTATTCTTTATCAAATTGCTATAGGTATAGTTCCTGCTTTAAGAAAGGCCTGTATGTTATGAGTTACAGAAAAACAAAACACACAATTTCCATACTGTTTTACCTATGATGCTTTCCAAGGATCTTCTCTACCTTCCCAGTCATCACATTCCAGAAATATAATGTTCCTTCTGCAGACCCAGCAGCCACATAGCTACCATCCGGACTGATGAAATAACACAGTTATTAGATTCACTTACAAATTAATCATAGTGCATTGCCATTTTAAACTTGTTGAAATATAAACCATGTGATAGATTAGTAAAAAAATAAATCATGTAGAATAGAATATCTCTTGTTAGAATATGTAACATAAAAGGCATTAAAGCCAGGAAATGTGGAACTGCTGAATTCACTATGGGTTCATGTCAATGGTGTTTAATTTAAACACTGCATTTTCCATTCACACTCATGCAGCTGCATTCCAATGGAGCCTGGAGTACACCAGACAGATAGGTAATTGATAATCACATTTTACAGGCTGCTGATTCTTCTTTTTTTTTTTCTCTCAGTGGCAGAGTCACTACAAACTCCACTCCATGTGAATAGAAGTGATTATATACAATGCAGAAGACAAAGTAAACGTAGGCCTACTTTTATGTACAATGCAGTAACCAAGGCCATTGTTTCACAAATGATATGAATGATTACTAAATAGCCTGCATTAGTCAGTCAGTCCTGGAATTAAAGTGATTGCAAAGGATAACATTTTTTTTTTTTTTTTAAAAATAATAAAACATGTCATACTTGCCTGCTCAGTGCAGTGCTTTCGCACAAAGCAGCCCTGCTCCTCCTTGTGATGGAGAGCAGAAATATTATTTTATTTTTGTGTTGTTTTGTTGAAATCAACAAGTGTGTCAAGCAGTCAGCTTGTCTGCGTAAAGGATAAGTTCACTTTTAGAACATGTTACACATTCCACGCGGTTTTAGGGTGGAACATGTAACATCTTCCCATAGCCGCAACTGCAGCCACGCCCGCTGCCCCCTCGCTCTGACAGATAGTATGGGGTGAAGTTTCCCTGTACGATCTGTCAGATTTGAAAACAGTGCAGCCGTGCGGGGCTCCGCCAACACATGGCCGTGTCACTCATTCACAGGTTTCTGTGAATGAGCGTCTACAAGTCCCGACAGCCTCAGCGGCTGTGCGATTGTAGTATTCAATGAACTACCATGTGTGCTGTGGGACACCGTGGTACTTTATTGAAGCTTCCTGAAAGAATATCTGCTTGCTCGTACATCCTGTAGGGCAAGCAGATATTCAGACAGGTCTGCAGGAGACCTGCATGGCATCAGCGATCTTCTGATTGCTGGTGCAATGCTTTCCAGGTTCCTTTTGGACAAAAATAATAAATGCACATTATTTTACGTGCAAAAAAAAAAAAATTGCATTTATTATATTTGTCCAAAAGGTGAACTTATCCTTTAATTAAATCTATGAGTTCCTGTGCCCCGCAGGGAATGGGAGATGAGGTTGGTTGATCTCAGCAAGAGGCACAGACAGCATGGTGTACTGCAGCTGGGAAAAGCCAGACGTGTCGGCACCAGGGGGCTTGAGGTTTGGTCAAATTGAAAGGAAAATATAATGTACCTATGTTGGGAGAACATTCAGAGCTTACTTCTGTGATGGACAGAGGAGCTCATGGCTGCAGGTCTCGTGAGAAGATGCATTGAACTGCTGTAACTTGTAGTTCTGCATTATCTGTGTGGCTTTCCAGACACTGGGACTTCACTCTATCCTCTGCTCTTCTGTCAACTGTTGCCTGTGTGGTCTTGAAGCTGCGGCCAGTACATAGCCCTCTGAGAACCCATGATTTGTTGGTGAAGAACCTCTGCCCTCTGGACCTTCTCCATGCCACTCTGCCTAGACCTCCTCTGCTGAGGCCACTGTTGTGTACCAGCCCCATGTTGCAGACTTAGCCCCTTGTCTAGCAGAACTCTGCTATCCCTGCCTTTCAATAAAAGCCTTGTGTGCACTCCTGCTATCTGTGTGTGTTCTGTTCCACCCACACCTCCATCACACTCCTCTTCTGTGGTCTCCCTGCCAGCACTTCAGGCCCTTCCCCTGCCGGGTACCACAATAGCAAGTCACCTGTTCTGCCTCCAGCTCCCCACGCACTGGCTGTGATTGCCTAGATGTGGATGTGTCTGGGCCAATGAGGGAGAGAGCTGAGAGAGTCTTTGCTCTTGTGCACATTGCTGGATCTAGATCAGGCTCAGTAAGTATAAGGGGGCTAGGGAGAGCTGCTTGTAGAAGGTTTTTTACCTTAATGCAAAGAATGCGTTAAGGTAAAAAACTTCTGCCTTTAGAACCACTTTACCAAAGCATAAAACACTGAAAATTACTGGGAATTAAAATTCCCACAATCCTTTTTCTCATAGTTAAAAAGCTTACCTAAAAATAACTCTAGTCCAATCTGATCCACACTTGAAACCCTGAGCACTAAAAATACAAATAATGTGCAGTTAGCAGATAAACACAGTATAATTTTTGGTATCAACACACCAACCACTATGGACGGCAATTATCAAAGTAATGAAAATGTATTTTTAGAAAAAAAGTTTTACAGACTGCATAATAATTAAAAACATCTGAAGTGAACATCTAAATAGTGCAGTACGATTCTCAAGCAGTATATCGATTGGGTGTTGCATGTCAGCAACCTTTGTACCATTGCATTGAAAATATTACAAAGCAATGCTTTGTATTGACACTGACAGCAGGAAAATCCAAATGTATAAAACCTAAATTCCTACATCACCATTAAAAGAATAACTGTAATAAAGAAGCATCACAGTTTTCACTCACCTAAAAGTCTGCCGAACAGCATTGGCACGAAGGTCAACAATTTTGATGAGATCATCTCTAGAGCAGCTGAGCAGCTCTGTTCTTTCAGGGTTCAGATCTAAAGCAGTGATCCTTCCTTGAAGCTCCAGCTCCCGTACTATACTCTCAGTTCTAGAATATCAAAGAACAAATATGAAGCAACGGTATAAAAATTGAATCCTAGACTAAGAACCATGAAAGTTGCCATATATGGAAAAGAGGAATTTTGACTACTTCCTGTAAATTCCATATCCTGGAGTACAGTAGAGAACACAGGCAAAGAATTCTTAGACCATGCGTCATAGGCCAATACATTTAGGTAATTGGACACTGGTAGAGATTTTGAGGACACCCCCTGGGCACCCTCACTATAAATCTCACCCACTGTGAGTCTTCAGTTTTGTAGCAAGCAATGTTGGGTAAGCAAAGAACGCAAAGGAGGAAGGCCTCCGTTTAGGAGATGCGTTATCTGGGCATATCTATATTATTCAGATTCTGTCATGTGATACTTCTCTATTAGAGTTTGTTTCGACAGAATTTCTCTGTGATCACAAAGATTAGCTATACATAGAAGACCCTTGTTAGACCACCAATCGAATGTACTGGGGGTGAGGCCCGGGTTGAACTCTTTATTGTGAAGTATAGTGGCTAGTGGACAGTGGGGGATTTAAAGTTATAAGGCTTGAAAGGTCTATCCCAAATGCCTATAATGAGGGAAAGGGAAGGGCATAAAATTGGAGCCCGTTACTTCGCTGGTAGCCATAAAATGTGAGAAATTGACCTAGATAAGGACTATGTTCTCAATGAGGTGGAATCCTGATACCACCTTAGGAAGAAAAAAAGGTTTTGGGCAAAAAAAACGAACTTATCATTAAAAGGGATGACAAGGGATGTCATTATAAGAGAGACGCCAGCTAAAAGACACATCTGACAGATGTGATAGCAATAAAAATACAGCAGCTGTAATTCAAAGGACTATCCCTGATGGGTTCAATGGGTGGTTTCTGCGGGGTGGCGAGACTCAAGTTGAGATCCCAAGGAAGCACAGGGTGCTGCTAGTGAATACCGACGTGAGAGACACCTTGATTTTTACAAGTGAGAGATGTCTTTGAAAGAACAGGTCTTGGCTTTATCCATTTTTTTTTTTAATTTTTAAGAGTGCTTAAGATCAAATTCTGATCAACACTTGTTTGCAGAAAGGCCAGAATGTGAGGCATATCTCTGGGACTGAATTGCATTGTGTTCACTCCTGGTAAAGAAGAATTCCTAGGTAAGATAGTTCACTTTTCTGGAAGTGGCTTTTCTGGCTTTGAGCAAAGTAGGAATAGTAGTCTCAGAGACCCCTCTATCTATTAAAACTTGGGCTTCAACAGCCACGGTATTAAAGCCAGAAACTGAGAAGAAAGAAGGAATAGAAGGCTATGAGACAGTAGATATTGATCGTTGGGAGGAAACCAGGGGAGGTCTGCTAGAAGTCCGAGTATGTCTGTGTACCAGGTTCTTCTGGGCCAGTTTTGTGCAATTAGAATCAGTGTTTTCCTCCTGATTGGGTGTCCTCACAGAAGGGGGGGTCCAGTGTTGCAGAGCTATCTGTATTTTTCTGAGCTCTGGGATGTTGATGGGGATCTTGGCTTCCACAGGTGACCACGTTTCCTGGACTGGAACACTCCTCCCCAGCCCGAAAGATTGGCATCTGTTGTTATCAATTTCCACTGATAAAGAAGAAAAAAAAAAACAAAAAAACTCCTACTGTTAAGGCTCGGCTGGACATCCGCCAAGATTGGGAATTCCTTCCCTTGCTGGACAGGAGCTTGGGTTGGTCAAGAGAAATAACATGTATGTTCCAGGTCAATAAGATGTTGTGTTGGAGGTTGTCTCAAATTAAATTGGGTGAATGGTATAGCCTAGAACTGAGAAGGTCTCTTTCATCACAAATCTCGAGCATAGGCTGAGGGAAAAAAAAATTAGAGAAGGAAAGCCTTTGCTTGGGATGTGTCCAGGATCAGATCCAAGTATTCCAGGCAAAGAGAAGGCTGGAGAGCAGATAATTGAAGCATCTGAATTGTGTTGTGCAGACAGGTGTAAGGGAGATGAGTCCTTCAGGAGAAGGTCCTCCAGATAACCTGTAACATGGATGCTTTGAGTTCTTAGAAGGGTATGAAGAAGTTTTGGGACATTTGTGAATACTGTAGGCGCACAGGATAGGCCAAAAGGCAATGCAACAAACTGGAAAAGATTTTTTCTTTTTTAATCCTATACTTCTCTTTTAAAGTTTACAGAAAAGCTTACAGATTTAATTCATAATATGGCTATTTTTCAAAACAATCCAGTTAGATAAACATGCCTACCGTAACGAATTTCATCAGAAAATGTCCTACCTTATATCCCAGAATCTGATCTTTTTGTCAAAGTGACCGCTCATCACACATTGCTCTGTACAGACAATGTCATTACAACTGGATCCAGCAAACACAGTCTTAATACCTGGAATTACAAGAAGATAAAATACAACAATTTAAATAAAAACGCAAGGATGGCAGTGGTAGAGAGAACAGAGAGAATGAATTTACATCTATAGGAATATTGTTCTTAACCATTTGTCCTCCAGAGGATTTACCCCACTTCCTGACCAGGTATTTTTTTTGCAATATGGCGCTGCTTTACTTTAACTGACAATTGCATCTATATAATATATATATATATATATATATATATATATATATATATATATATATATATATATATATAAATAAATGTCTTTGCTTAAAAAAAAATATCCCACTACGTGTAAATTAATTGGTTTACGTGAAAACGTCTACAAATGGCGGTATATATACTGGAATTTTTTTTTATACTAGTAATGGCGGCGATCGGCAACTTATAGCGGGACTACAGTACTGCGGCGGGCATTCTGACACTGTGGGGGGAACTGAATGTCAGTTACATCCCCAGTAACACTAATACAGTGATCAATAATAAACAGCACTGACACTGTACTAATGATAATGGGCAAGAAGAAGTTAACATCTGGGGCGATCAAAGGGTTAACTGTGTGTTGTGTTTTACTGTGCAAGCACCCTGCTTTGTATTGCTCTGCTATGCAGAGCAATACAAAGCAGTGTGCTGGACCTGACAGGGGAGAGATCAGTATTGTTTACATACAGACCTCTCCCCCATGTCTGCTGGGCCTCCTCCCAGATTTAGAAGATGACAAGTTTCTGGTCACTTTTTTGCAAAACATCCTCTCTAGTGCTCGGAAACTTGTTACACGCCACTGGATACGGACCACATCCCCAACACGTCAAGATTAATTGAAAGAAGTCAACTCGACACTTCCTGACAAGAAATGGATTTATATCCATAGAGGATGCCCCATGAAATATAACAAAATATGGGATAGATGGCTTGATACACCAAACACTTGTGTGACCTAAAATGTGCTGGAGAGTTCAGGTTTACCCATCCAGCTCCACCGTACAGTAGTTCTCAAATTAAGAACCCTTGTGTGAGGAGACTGACATAATACTGTAATTTCCAGTATGCTGCATATACTATCTGTTGTTAGTTCAACAAATGTTCAGCCTGTAAATTTTGGATGTGTATTATGTATCACCTGTTGTGTACTATAACATGCCACTGTACCATATTTTACTTTCTGTGAAAAAAAAAAAAAAAAAACACTACCAAGAAACATTGGGTGGAAGAAACTGGGACCAACATAAAGGTGGTCAAAATGGAAACCTATGAGTTGAAGGCTAAAGCCTTGGAAATCCCATCCTTGATTTATAGGAAAAGAAAAACAAAGGGAACCTCAAAAGGAAGAGATGATGAGATATCGAACACATCAATACCTGACAGAAAGGTGTGACATTCTGAAATAAAAAATAAGAGAATCTTTTTCTAATAAATAAGACCCAAGTGAACCTCTAAAAGAACAGCATCATGTTGTGGGGATGCTTTTCTTCAGCAGAGACAGGGAAGCTGGTCAGAGTTGATGGGAAGATGGATGAAGCCAAATACAGGGCAATTGTAGAAGAAAACCTGTTAGAGTCTGCAAAAGACTTAAGACTAAGGCAGAGGTTCACCTTCCAGCAGGGCAACGACCCTAAACAGAGACAGAGCTACGATGGCATGGTTTAGATCTAATCATATTCATGTGTTAGAATGGCCCAGTCAAAGTCCAGACTTAAATCTGATTCAAAATCTGTGGCAAGACTAGAAAAATTGCTGTTCACAGACGTTCCCCATCCAATCTGACAGCTTGAGCTATTTTGCAAAGCAGAATGGGCAAAAATGTCACTCTCTAGATGTGCAAAGCTGGTAGAGACATACCCAAAAGACTTGCAGCTGTAATTGCAGTGAAAGGTGGTTCTACAAAGTATTGACTCAGGGGGGCTGAATACAAATGCACAACACACTTTTCACATATTTGTAAAAAATTTTGAAAACCATTTATCATTCTCCTTCCGTTTCACAATTATGTGCCACTTTGTGTTGGTCTATCACATAAAATCCCAATACATTTATGTTTTTGGTTGTAACATGACAAAAATGTGGAAAATTTCAAGGGGTATGAATACTTTTTCAAGGCCCCTGTATGTACACAGAGGAAAAAAGGGATCTGACATATCAAGGGCTAACAAAGTGCTTAGTCCAAAATCCAGAGTATAAACAAATCTCATGCTGTACCTGAGGTGGCCATGTGTGTATGGTGGCTGTGGTGGCCTGAGTTTCTCGGTCTCCATTCTGAATACACAGCCACCACAGGTACAGCATGGGATTTTTGCCATGTCAGACCACACAGCCCTACCAAAAAATGGAGATTATGAGGAGCTAATTGGGTATCCCTAAAGGAGCAGAGCAGCATGAAAAGAGATAGTCTTGAATGCCCTTTTGCCAATGAGTAAAATGAGAAACAATTATTTTTGGTGATTGTGGTGACATATGGGAGCGGTTTACACTATTTACACCATGGTGGAGGATTGGGTAATAGCACAAAGTACCTGAATAAGTATAATAGTTGCTGACGTTTAGAAAGGTATCACAGATTGATGTGTGCATGCATCTATGAACTTTATATGAATTTCATATGGACTTCACCATTATGGACTTTTGTTTTGGGTGTTTTATGTACTTTTACATTTATGATATGTTCCGTTTGGTTGCGCTACCAGAGAGTACACACAAATTGGTTATATTCTCTCCTTCTTTTACATTTATTTTTTTTATATTTTTCGGTGGCAGCAATCTTAAACAGATTGCACAGTATTAGTATTTTATTTATGGCTTCCTAAGCACAGGGTATTGAGAGGTTTTAGTTACATTTGTTACATTAGTCAGTAAGGTTGACCAAAGACACTAGTCTATCCAATTCAACTTGAATGTGCGTGCGTGTTTATATCACTATCATTTTCCATATCCCTGTACATTGCATTCACTAAGAAACATATTTAAAAGTTTTTTGAATTGGTCTATACTTCCTGCTGACACCACCAGCTGTGGAAGGGAGTGCCACATCCTTACCACTCTAACAGTAAAGAATACCTTGTACATTTTAATCTTGAACCGCTTCTTTTTCAACTTCATTGTGTGGTCACGTGAGACCTTAGGTTAAATAGTTTCCTTCCAATGCTAGAGTCACCAGTCAAAGATTTGTACATTGCGAACGTATCCACTTTTAAGCATCTCTTCTCTACAGAGATTACGTTTAAAGCAGAACTATACTCGCATCAGTTCCAGTAATGTGGAGTCCCTCTAGTCCCCACTCAGCCACTGAAATCTTTAAGCGGCCGGCTTCTGGGTCTCGATCTCTGGCCGCTGTCATTGGCCAGGTGGGAATGTTGTCACTCCCGCACAGTCAGATTCGGCATTGCAGAATTTGTACAGTGAGCTGCGCATGCGTGGCTCACTGTACAGGGCGGACAGGCAGGTAAGTTCAATGCAGAAGAGACAAAGCACCTCTCATCTGCATTAAAATTCCTGCCTGTTCGTTCATTTTTATTATTTTACCTAAAGTTCCACTTTAATGTTTGTAGTTGTGCCTCATAAATAAGGTTCTGTAGCCCTCTTATGTGTTTTGTTACCTGTCTCTGGACACTTTCCAGTTCAGGCACTCTCTCCCTGAAGATCAGTGACCATAACTGAACCTCATATTGAAGATGTGGCAGGAGTTTTATAAAGGTGTAGAATTTAAGTTTTATCTCTTGAATAATTACCTTTTTTAATGCATGCTAATGGTATGCATGCCATTGCTGAGTTTGCCATCTATTTTTTGAAGTGCTTCATTCACTTGCATAAACAGCTGGAAAACTCTAAGATTGAGAGCAGAGTTGGAAAAACCATCTTAACCCTGTCCCTGCCACCAATGTAAGGATTACTTCGATGACAACAGCAGCTCTTACACACAGTCCTGGCATCTGCAGCTGCCCTGAATGTACTGCCATGTATGTGCTGTACAAGCCAACTGTTGACTTTCTCCTGGAAGTGATTTGGGTTGCTGTAAAGATATCGTAACTGACCCCCTCCTCCATTTTCCTGGGCTCTGCTGCACCACATGCAGGTCTGGGACCGCCACTGGGGGTGGTGTTGGGTAGGGCGAGGGGAGCTCAAACAACCATTTACTGATCCTCTCCTCCCTTGAACGAACAGAGAAGCAATGTGTATTACATCACTTCCTGGATTAGAGCAGCCATTCTCCAGGTGTGCTGGTTGGGAAAACAGATATTGCAGCTTGACCTGTGACGTTCAGAAGACAAAAGTCTAATTATTATTAAAGACAACCTGTCACAGGTTATATGCTATTGCATAGGGGGCTATGGTCTCCTATATGGTAGCAAAGTAATGAGAAATAAAAGTTTTAAGTGTCAAATAAAAAAATAATAAATTGTTTAAGCCCTCCAGCCCCCACACAAACATGTGCCTCTGTTACCAGCATGACAGCATTCTTATGGCTAATGGACATAGCATAATGAGGAAAGCAGTGTTTAGAAGGTAGCATACCAAGAAAAATGTGTTATTTCCAGAGGTCACGTTTTTAGGTAAAAAATATAAGACTGGGATACACTAAAGGCATTACCATTGCGCTAACTGACCAATACTCATAGGACTGGAAAGTGTCTATGCAGAGCTAATAATGTAGATATCACTTTCCAATATATCTCTGCCACAGGAACACTAGAAACTAGGTAACTTGATTAAACTCTACAATTAATTGAAAGTACCAAAATGCAGAGCTTATAGCATAGACACCAGTTACAAAGGCATGTGCATCCTAGGGAAATTCAAGACTGGATTACACTGAAAACAGTATTGAACCAAGAAGCAAACATTTATTTTATTGCAACTTGCGAATTCTTGGATGTGATAACTGCATTAGTTTTCTTTTTTTAGGTTTTATTCCCTTTATTTCCACCTAGTGATTCTGCAAGATCTGATATTTTCCAACAGAACAAGTTGTCCTTCAGATGTAGCAGTTAGAGGGTTGAGACCATTTACTATGGACAGGGGTGCTTACAATGATCAGCGTGTGAGCTGAGTTTGGCTTCAGTTTGTTAGTGTATCTATATCTGCTACTACATCTAAAACTCCCCTCCCCCCCTGACTGACAATGCTGCTGTCCAAAGGTGTCTGTGTTGCTCCTTCATCGAGAATGGAGGCACTCCAATACAGGACATGTGTTACTGGCCAGATTACTAGGTGAAAACAAAGGGGGAAGCCTAAGAAAAAGAAAACTAAGGCAGTAACCACATCTAATGATTGGTAAACTGCAATATATTCCATTTTTGGTTTTGGGTTTAATACCGCTTAAAAGAGGTACCACTGCTCTAATTGAAAAACAGTCTGCAGCAAACTGACACAGGACATAGAGACCTGGAAATTCTAACATGCACATCTTAGTGCTCAATCCACCCAAGAATCTGAGTTATACCCAAGGATACACCATTGCTGTGAAACTGAAGAGTGCCCGGCAGCTAACCAACCTGGTCACAAGCAGAGTCCATTCCCGAATGCAACATTCGAGTATAACTGCACCCCATTCATGGGTATACCTTCAAGGGAATCTTCAGGGATAGGAACAAAGCAGTGTCCCTGAACCTGTAGAGTGCCTTTTGGTTAATAAACCAGTACACTGGGTGTCTGGGGAACACAACAAGCAGATCCCAGACCACAATGGTCACATTACAGGCAAGCCCTACAAACTTTGATCTAGCGGTAAAAATAAAAGCAGAGTTTATCTTAGCAGAGCTGAGAAAAAAAAAAAAAGCATTCACTCCTGGGACACTAACTAAAACCGGAGATATGACTTTACATCATTCTAGTGTCCCTTAAAGAATAAAAAAAGACACTTTGGAGAACAGATATAACCCAAACCGACTTTGCAATAAAAATGTTCACGAGGGAACCCCACATTTTTCAGTACACTTAAAAACATTATAAAAACAAATCACTTACACACTTTATTGCGCAGGTCCCAAAGTTTTAATGTCCGATCATGGCTACCAGAAACAATTCGAGCATTGTCTAGTAAGAATTTGGCAGACAAAACCTTCCCGCTGTGTCCAGTTAGGGTGTGCTAAAGGAATCAGGTAAATACAGGTTAGGATATACCTTTCAAAGGTTATAAGCTATACACAAGTCTAAAGCACTTGTATTAGAATTTACTCAGATGAGCCTTAGGTGACCAAAGGAATGAGCACATCTCACTCAAGCATCCAGTGATGCCACATAGTACCCATTTAAGAGTCACTGGCCCTGTGAAAGCTTCAGGTTGAAGCTGGTATCTTACATAAGGGAACTTCTATTCACTTGCCAAAAAAGTGTTGGGGAGCAAAAGGAGGTAAAATATAAGCAAAATCAAGGACCAGCATTAAAGTCTGCATTGCAAACTACAGGTTCGCTTCAACTTTGGAATGTATTTAACTGCAAAACCTTGAAAAAAATGAAATGTATAAGCTTTTCAAGCAAGAAGTCTCAGTCTCTTCAAGATTTCATGCACTGAATTTTCTATTTTACACATCAGACCCCATGGAATATGTTAGTGTTGGATCCCCCTCACTAGCACAGCTTCCAGTACTAAAGGAGCAGTGAATGTCTGGGTTATCCTAGTTGTCAGCAGATTTAATAACCAGTCCGTGCACATCTACAGCAGGACAGGAAAACAGAAATACTGCTGGGAGTCGGATGTATACTGAAAACATACAGTGCTATCAGACCTTTTACTAGTCATCACAGACTTCATATAGTTTAAAACAATTTAACATCTAACAAATAGTAAAACTTACCCGAAGCCGGTAATCATCTACAGTCCAAATTCTGCTGGCAAAATCATTGGATGCAGCCAATAAGTAAGAGCCCTAAAAAACAAATAAAATAATTATAGTGATATGTATTAGGCACCCCATGGTTTTGATTTCTTTCTAGATTTAACTTTAACTAAAATTGTAAAAAAAAAAAAAAAAAAAAAAAGTGTACAGTGTCTAACGTGAAGACAAATAAATGCAGAAGCAAACTGCAATAGGGTTACTTACAGCACTATCAAATTCTATGCTGGTAATTCCAGCGTTGCTCCCTGTTAGCGAACCCTTTGACTCACATTTATCTGTAATGACAAAGAATTTCAGCTTTAATGGACTATTTTTGTCACAAGGTAAAGACATAATACAAGACAAACTTGAGGTCTCAGAATAAAAAGTAGAGATCATGCAATGCAAACTGTCCACTTCCTGTTCGCCAGACTCCACATTTCACATACATGTTGGAAAGCTCTTGCTGTTATGCATCGCAAATCTCAGAAACACATAAAGCAAGTTATCCAAAAGTGTCAGCATTTCCTGGAAACAAAGCCGAGGCATAACTTGAGCCTGATAAGTAAGCAGGGGCTGCTGGGAGCGTATTGACTGCAGGGTGACAGAAGTGCGATCAGACCTTTTACTATTCATCACAGACCACTAAAAACTACTTACACTTATCTTCAAAAAAGGATAAAATTCAATAGAACAAGAAAAACTAAAATTTTATTTGACTATTAAAAGACACCAACTATAAACTTGTGTTAACTCTCCACTCAGCGAAAAATACAAATTTAATATGTGAAAACAGATAGCACCATCGACAAAATATCAATAAAACAGATAATAAATAATACATACAGAAAATGTTTTGCACTATCACTTTAAGAAATCAATAAACAAAATATTATATATATATAATATATATATATATATATAAAATATATATATATATATATATATATATAATATATATATATATATATATATATATATATCATGCAATTCATAATAAATGTGCAACAAAAATAACTTTTGCATAGCAATATGCTATTGTATAATCAATCTGTTGTGGAGGTCACTGGTGGAGGAAGCTATCCATGATAGGGGTCTGAATCTCTTGTAAGAGGAGTGTTATCTATGGTTGTGGATGAGATGAGAGTGACACTGGCTGCATTTTACACTTAGTTTACTAAGAATTTTACACTGGTCACTTTTTCTGCACATTTATTGTAATTTGTATGATACATATTTGGTTTATGGATTTCTTAAAAGGACAGCACAAGATATTTTTTGTTTTTATTATTTTCCCTTTTACCTGTGACAGCACACCTAAAACAATGGTAAGACCTTAATTAGTTTGTGCTTCATGATAAACATAAGGAAAAGAAGGCTACAACGCATAACAAAGGCATTTATCATCCAGGCCACAGGCATCCCTAGCTGGAAGTCATCTTGGGCTCATCAGTGTTATGTATGCCTTTTAAAGTGAAGCACTCTCTTCTTAACCACCAGTGGGGGGGGGAATAGTGCCCCATCGTTGGTGTCACACCCACTATAGTACAAGGATTTGAACTAGCTTTGTTGTAGATGACTGTTTCTTTCCTGCAGAGATATTGCAAACACCCTCTTCAGAGACACCCTTTTTCAGAGCCAAAGTGGGCTGGAATTACGCACGTAACATTTTTAATATGGGCAAAGAAAAAGAGGTGAATGCAAAGCTGATCAAGAAGCATAACAAATTAACCACAACACTTTACCTGAATAAATGCTCACCTACCTAGCACAGGTGGCCGGTGAGACACCTCTAGACTCCAGGGATTTTGTTAGCAAACAGATTTAAATACAGTTGCCAACATTTTCAAATAAGCCTATTCAGTAATTTGTTCATAAGGCAGTTATTATAAGAAGGTTTTGGTTATGGAAGAGATTGTTTAAACCTTTCAGAAACCTTGAGGCATCTTCAAAATCTTCCCAGCCAGTTTTAGAAGCTTCATAGAAAAGGTTTCTACAACAGTAAATGAATTCCTTACATGCTAACTGGATAAGTGTGAACTTACCTCCAATAACCTCCCACAGTTTCACCCGCCTGTCCATTCCTCCTGTTGCCAATAATCGTGAGCCTGGGCTAAACCGGACAGCATTAACTTCTCCATCATGGGCATCCTTTGTCAAGTCATTTAGAAAAATGTTTAGGTGACTTTAATAATAACCCATGACTAGAGAGCATTTAAAAGTTTTCCAGAACATAGTAAATACATAGTCACTAAACACAAAACAAAAGTTACACAAAAACATATCAAGGGAAGTACAAAAACAAAACTTCCTAAGTTCTCATACTTTGATGGACCTGGGATGTTTCACACTAACATTATGTGTAGCTGAGTGCGGTCTCTGATCTTACATTATTTGTTTTTTTCATTGGAGGAAAGGTTAATTGCATTGTGGGGTACTCTTGGGCTACAGGTTAGCTTGGTGCAGAAGAATATTATACTGCAAAAATTTATATCAAACTTCCAATAAGCCCTGTCACTTTTACATAAGCATAAGTTATTGTTATCAAAATATCTTTTACAGTGGCATGGTGTTTTATACGCATTGAACCCTATATTGTTATTACAACAAAGTGAAAAAAAAAAACAACACAGAGGTCTCAGATTGAAAACTTGTGATCACGCACTGCAAAAGATTCCACCCGCATTCCCCAGTCTCCTTAAAAATGTATGTGGGATAACGGCTTCAGCTGCATTACCTTATACTGCAGGTAACACAGCATGAAAAGTATCCAATTATGTCAGCAGTCTCCAATACCATATACTACACAACTGGTGTGTTATGGGATAAAAACAGAGCCTGCTGGGAGCTGAATGGGCTGTGAGAGAAACAGAGTGCCATCAGACCTTTTACAAATCATCACTGACTCAGTCACTTTTCACGGCAAATCAAAATAATGACCAAGATGTTCAAATACATTGCAAGCCAAAAACATATGAAATGTAGACAAGCAGCTGTGACTACTTACAAATGAGTGGAGAGCAGAAACTGGAACTCGTACTTCCCGATTACCACCAGCCTGAGCATCTGCACAGTCTTGGGATGATGGAAAGGAGGGTATAGACCTTCTCCTGAAAAAGATTAGCATATGTAAAGAATGGTATACTGTACACACTCCCTTTTATCCCAACAAGAAAAGGTGGTAAATTCCTCCCGAATATTAAATAAGGCCCAGCCTACTTCTTTCTTTCCTTACAGTGCAAATAACAATAGGTGATCAGAATACAGAAAAATAAGCTAAAAACATATGAAATAATCATGCCCTTGGAATAACTTAAACTGTGTACTTTATATAAGGCTACTTTCAAGTTTATAAAATAAATAATTTTCAAGAACTTACAAAAGAATAGCAAAAAGCCAAGCAGTCAATGACATAATTTTAATATGATTTCTCTCACTAGGTCTAAGAATAATTCTAGCTTTAGCTGTACATATACTAAATATGATATTTGGAACAAAACAGACCACTATTCCTACTGGCATATTCATCCATGACTCAGATGAGTTTGCTACAATATTAGATGTTGTCTTTAAAAAAACAGCAATATTCTTAGACAATTCATAGAAGCAGCTTATTCAGTCAAAACATCCACATCTAAATCAGGGATGCAAACTTATACATTTAATTACATAACAAAAAGCAAGACTAAGGTCCACAGGCAAGTACAATAGGTAGTGATTGATTTTTAAAACAATTTGAGTAACTACCAATGCACCTCTGACACAGAGGAAAAGCTTGGACTACTTAATATTATCAAGTAGCAGGGAGTTTATAAATGGAAATTCTCTTCAACATTTTGTTTTAGCCCTCATTCACACAGGGGCATACTACCGTGTACACCCACACGAGGCCTGTGTCTTCCTACACAGGTGTTCTGTGTATCCCCGTGTAAGCAGTCCCATTCATGCCAATTGGGATGCAGCAACTACATGGACACAGCGACTTCTCACATTTTGACAGCTATGCAGGTGCACAGCCCAAAACACACAGGCTGCATTCAGGGACTGTGCTACAAAAATGGGAGCAGCAGCTGGGTCCATGCAGATGCTGCAGTCTATTTAACATGAATAGAACTGCCTGTGCATCCCCATGTGGGCGAACATGGCTCTCACATGGGTATATATGCCGTAGAATGCCTGTGTGAACGAAACTTTAAATTTTATTGCTGCTTTATATGCAAACATGAAAAAAAAAAAGTTTAAGGAAGTGAAATGAATGGTGTTGGTTTAATGAAAAACTCCAGCCAGGAATATTGGGTATGGGGAAAGAATATTAATAACAGACCATACAGTCCAAGTGCAAATTTTGACACAGAGCTGGTAGTATTCCACACATCTAAATCCCAATTCTGACACAAAGCTGGCCATAGTAGTGTCACCAAACTTTTATATGTGGAGGGTAAAGTGGAGAAGCAATATTTTTCTACTCTTTTAACCAACCCCATTTACCCACAGCCCTTCGGTGGAGTTTTTCTTTAATTCAGTATAAAAACAGAGTGGTAAATCAATTATGTATGCAAAGGAAAAGGGAAAAAATTGAGGAACACAACCGTCATCCCTACACACTACAGGAATCAGAATGATAGAAGAGTGAGGAGAGCAAGATTCACCTGGCAGTGTCAGAATGATGACCCAAGAGGGGAGACTCAGACAGGCTGTAGGGAGAGTTCAGAGGTCAGCCAGACACAGGAAGGGCAGGGAGGGAAGCAGGAAACAGAAGATAGAAATTAACTCTTTGGGCACAAAGAATGGAACTCAATATCTGACAACCTTAAGCCATTCAAATATGTGTCATGTGGATTTTAAAGGAACCCAGTCGAAGGTCCTTACCGCCAAAACGGCTCCTGATCCTTAAAGCTAAAGTCCAGGCAGATATAAAAGATACAAATAAATGCAGCTTTGTATTAATTAATACATCATTAAATGTATTTTCAAATGCAAGTAGTGCAAGTACCTGAATTTGGCTTAGTATCAGCCTCCTGCAGTCCCTGTCAAGCAGAGCTTAGACTAGGAGATGGAGAAGCAGCACAAAGAGCCAATCGGTTGCGCTACAGTACTCAAATACCAACAAGGAACATGCTGACAGGAGAAAAGTAGAATGACAAAGAGATATGCTCATCAGCCTTCTGCTTCTACTTTCACTGCCATGGGCTGGAAAGTCATGGGCTTGGAGACAGACAGTACCTGTAGCTGTTACTTAAAGCTGAACACCAGGCAGCTTTAAAAGAAAAAAATATTGCAGCTCTGTATTCATTAATACATCATTAAATTAATGTTTAACTCAAGCAGCGTAGATACCTGAATTTGAACTGGCATGAGCCTCAGTTACTTCCTGTACAGCAGAGCTCAGACTAGAAACAAGGATCCAATCAATTAATATGCAGGCAAGGAGAGAGCCAAGTGACAGATGGCTAAGTTCTTGGGTCTGTGGCTTCTCATTCACTGCCCAATCAAAAGTTGGAGGTGTGGGGGAGAAAAGCAAGTGTTCATCAGGGGAAAAAAGGGGTTGTGCTGTATGGCAGCATTGTATAACTAATTATATTGCAGGAAAATCAGGATTATTGTATTAACTGTAGAATCCTTTTCTTGGAGTCTACTGAGGGACAGGAATTCTCAGACTGTGAGGTTATACTGCTGCCTAAAGGAGAAACAGAAACTGGCAACAACAAAAAATCTATTGGTCAAGCAAAGGATTATTAAGCCTAAAATTTGTAACAAAGTAGTACTGAGAACATAAAAATAAACACAGAGGAGTAGCCCGTGTCCTTCAGAAGACTCCAAGAAAAGGATTTTACAGTGAGTTTAAAATCCTATTTTCTTCCTGATTCATTGAGAGAAACAATAATTCTTAGAATTCCTATACTAACAGGACATCCAAAAGCAACCAGTGGCAACATAGCAACAAAGGCCAATAGTTGTAAGAGCAACAGGAAGGCTGCAAACCGAGATGAAAAATATTATTCTTCCTTTTTTAAAAATAGTCAGCGGGAACAAGTTGTATTTCGCCATGTTTTGTGCTATCCAAAGAACAGAGGTATACCGTTCAGGCAAAAAATCCAGATCAATCCATAACAGGTGCAGGCTCTGGCTCATCACCACACATGATGCAACAGGAAGAAGGGTCAGCCGCACACCAGAGGATAGATGAACATAGTGTATATTAATTGATCCATAGGTCACACAAAACACCAGGACATGAATACAGGACCTGTTAACGCGTTTCACACAATCGCGTGCTTAATCATAAGGATAATATTTTGCGCTATGCACAGTGCTTTCTTGAAGAATGACAAAGCCACTATCCATACATCAGTACACAGAAACATTAATTATGATCCTTCACAGGTGTAGGGATTTGAAATCCCTGCGGCTTTCTCTCCTCTCCTTGCAGTCATGGTGCGGACCATTCAGAAGCCATCTAACTCATACTATCATCCCTGCAAGGAGAGGAGAGGAAGTTGTGGAGATTTAAAATCCCCAGATCTGTGAATTGGCTCTCTCGCCTCTCCTTGCAGGGATTACAGTACAGGCTAGATGATTTCGGATTGGTCAGCAAGGGGAAGGGAGGGGAGGATGGAGAAGGGAAAGGAGGAGGGGGAGAAGGGAAAGGAGGAGGGAGAAGGGAAAGGAGGAGGGAGAAGGGAAAGGTGGAGGGAGAAGGGAAAGGTGGAGGGAGAAGGGAAAGGAGGAGGGAGAAGGGAAAGGAGGAGGGAGAAGGGAAAGGAGGAGGGAGAAGGGAAAGGAGGAGAGAAGGGAGAAGGGAAAGGAGGAGGGAGAAGGGAAAGGAGGAGGGAGAAGGGAAAGGAGGAGGGAGAAGGGAAAGGGAGGAGGGAGAAGGGAAAGGAGGAGAGAAGGGAGGGGTGAGAAGGGAGGGGTGAGAAGAGAGGAGAGGCTCTGGGATTTCAAATCCCCAGACCTGTGAATCAGCTTTTCCTTGTGTGACAGCATGGGATCAATGTAGGGAGGTTTCTCACATCGCTCCTGTGTGAACTCAGGCTATGACAAGCCTGGGTTTACACAGGAGCAGCAGGGAAACCGCATGCTATTTGGACAGGAATCACACCACATTCCTGTTCAAATCACATGTGCTTCTTTGCAGTGCGATTTGCATCCATACATTTTGTATGACAAACAAGATATACCTGTGCTTAAATCCCAATAGCTACTACATGTATTTATCTATCAGGTGCTAAAGGGGTGTAACCACATATTAGCACTAGAAAATCTGAAGGACCCTCTGCACGCTGGTATATACCCTTTCCAGCAGACTTTGCAATAAAGAACAGGGATATTTAGCTCACATATATTGCAATACATGTTTAAGCTGGCTAACTGATCAAACCATGAGTTTGAAAAAGGAGCAATTGTGGGCTCCAAAACATGTTACCACCCATCAGGCTTTGACGTCATTACGTCCAGACATCACCTCTGATTCTGGTCTTAGCGCTGGCTTGCGTTCCAGTGTGGCTATATTTGCTGCTGGAGGAAGACACAGCCTGTCATATGGACTTAATCTGCATTCTGACAGCTTTATTCCACTTATCCTGCAGAGCTGTTTTAAGGATACATGTTATCCATCCATCCACCCGCTGTCCACCGAGGCTTGCCAGTGAATAAGAACTGATGATATGCTCACTTACTCTCATCCTTTTGAGTGTATTTTAATCCTTCCCTTTACTTGTTTTTAATTAAATTGATACACTTAGATGGCAGCACCTTCTGTTTGTTTATTGTCTCTCGCCAAGTATACCTTCCATGTCCAGTGATAGGAAGGCTACATCCCATACAGTCTAATTGTTAGCATTGTAGGAAACACATTCAGAGATGTCTCTGACTCAAAATACCTCAAACTGAATTAAAAAAACTAGGGCTTCAACAACCATGTTGGTAAAGCCAGAGACCACAAGGTGGGATGACAAAACATTCCTTGTAAGATCCTGTGTGAGCTATAGACCTGTTGCATATAAAAAAAAACAGTATACCTGCACTGAGTGGTTACCTGGTTTGCGGTCTATGGTTTTCATTGTTGTACAGAGCTGAGCAAATCCTTTGGCGCTATATAAACTCGATGTAATAATAATAATAATAATATCTGACCTGAAGCTACAAATATTTGTAAATGCCTGGAGAAAGTTTCAGAATGTCAGACCTGTTGCAGAGGGAATACCAGTAAAAAACTAGATAAACCTGCACTTGTTGGCTGACTAGTAAAACTTCCAGGATTTTTTTTCCAGCATAAATCCACCAGCAGCTGTTGATAGTGGAAAACATTCCAAATGAACAGGGAACAGCAGAGCTGAAGAAAATATGTCCACTCTCCTACATACATCCAGCCAATAACAAAGTTTTGTTTTGTCAGTGTCCATTTCTCCTGAAGGAAGCAGCATACCAGGACAGTCTAAGAATTCTTGTGTCCCTCAATGGATGAGAAACAGCTCCTTTATATGTATTTCTTCTGTATTTTAGTTGTTTGCCTAGCATTTAGCTTTAACCAAAGCAGAGAAAAATCTGATCACCTAATATGCCAGGGAAAGAGAGAGAGCTGTGCTGTGTGCATCTCAGACTTTGATTGATAGAGACACAAACCATATGGCAGATAAAGCAGCTCTCATATACAGCTGTTATCTGTTTATTTAGATGTTTACTGGTGTTCCCCTTTTAGGCAGTCTATTCCAGGTGCATAATCATATATTTAAATGTTATTCATTGTGCTCCGAAATCCCCTAAACATCCAGCATGCAAATGGCTATTACTGGTAACTCTTTTGGTCCAATTTCCACACACAGCACCTTTTTACTGGCCACCAAATGCATTGGATGGCCTTACTGGACAACAATACGGAGAGGAGGGCAAGATGCAATTCAGATCTGTGACAAAAACAGTCCTCCCCATTTGCCCCCATGTTTTAATTATTCTTGCCACAGTGAAAAACAGAGACCTGGAGGTGTCGGTCCTAAGGACTGGGAGCCATTTGGGAGTTAAGACCCTCCCACATGTACCCTTAAAAAAAAAAAAGTGACAAACTTACATCATCTAGTTAAATATTCTGTTTAGTAGATCTTTGCATGCTCCAGGGCTATCATCCTTCAACTTGTTTCACTACTTGCTGAGTTTCTTACTTAAAAAATTATGTGTACATCAGATGTGATGTTGTGACAACGTATATGCAAATACTTATTCCTGGTCAGTGACTCCTTTAGCAGTCAAGTAAAAAGGACAGTCATACAGTATGCGCCTTATGAAACAAGAAAACAATGGAAGCTCCCATATTTCCATCCTGACAGATTCTCTTTAAACAAGAGCTAGAAGAAAGTTACAAACCATAGAAATTAGAAAAAGGCCAAAGAATACTATTTGCCTTCATTTGAATTTTGGTTTTTGATGAACTGCTCAGTAGAAAGGCTAGCAATCCACTACAGCAGGTAAAGCTATCCTATAACTGCAATTGTCTGCTTGAGACAAAAGTATCTATTCAGTGCCATCTCACCTACTGTGTAGCAAACTAGGAGCAGAGTAATGCAGGCCATAGACGGGTCGAACATCGGCTGATTTTTCGGCAAAAAAAAAAAAAAAAAAAAAAAAAAAATCGGTCGTTCGGTCGGCCCACGTTATCACCAACCGTAAAAACATGACCGATAAAAAAAAAAAAAAATGTGCGAAAAACAGCCAACCAATTACCCCACCGACATTGAGAAAATCGGCCGATTTTTTTTTCGGCTGAAAAATTGGCCGATTTTCGACCCGTCTATGGCCGGCATAAGGAAGCAACACAGCCTAAATAAAACAATACAAACTGGTAAAGCTCCTAGGTACTGGATACACTAAGGGTTTGAACAACAACACAGGAAGTTCTGAAACTAACCCAGTGTATGATCTCAAGGCACCCTATTCTAAAATATAAAAACTAATCTAATAGCTTGACGTAACGCAGCAACATCTGCACATGTAGGACACCCAACATGAGTTATTCTTCCAAAGCAAGTACACCTTTGTACACTGATACTGGCTAATATTACAATGTTTCTCTCCCTCAGTCAGCTTATGTGACCCCAATGCTGGTGGAGATTGGCAGGAGAAGAGAAAACAAGCCAAGCGATGTCCTCCTTATCAACTGATAATGTAATTGATTATTAGGACGCTGGCAGCTTGAAGATTTTGATGGTGCACAATGCAAACCTGTGATATTGTGTAAATAAAAAGCAGGCTTAATCCACCTGCTGGCTTGTACACAATTTTTGGGTAATTTTTAATCATTTTGCCAAGGCACCCCTCAAGAAACCTAAAAGCCCCCTGGTTGAAAAAAGCTGATCTAACCTATATAAAAATATATATACCCTACAAAATACATTTGCTGAGGAGTTTGATTTTGGCTCAAGTTTTGAACATTGCTACACTTTAAGGTGACTGACATAGTATAAATCAGGACAGAAAAGCAAACTCTGAACCTATGAAAAATATGCCGATTTATTATTTTTAAGCTTCCTACAAAGCACAATTTTCCTTGGCATTTTTGAATGTGAGATCAGTGAAATAAAAGTTCACCTGATCAGAACAAAATTTGTTTTTGAGCTCAAAAGTACACATTTTCAGCCAGTACAGTGAAAATATATGCATATCTTTAATTAAACCAAGCCACTGTTTTGAACAATTAGTCTTTAACAGTGCAACAGCAGTTGATTATACATTAAAAGAAGAACCAAGACACTGACTAAATTGACACAATTGTGGAGAATGTGAAAGCTACAAAAACAAAGTCAAGGCAATGTTCTGCACAAACTGAGTCCTGTTCTACTCTTCATCGCTACTTCAATATGCAGCTGTACAAACAGTAGTGAATCAGCCTTTTCGTCTTCTATATTAGACCACCATAATAATAAAAATAATCTCTAGATCATAGAGATGTCATACAGGAAAAGTGCAGACCTACCCGAAAATATTAGTGATAGAATCCAGAAGGCCTCCTACGCCAGGCTGAGAGAGTCTCTTACTAGAGGGAGCAGAGGAATAAGCCAAATCATCAGTAAGATTCAAACTAAAATATATCCCTGCAACTCGTGTATGAATGGCCACAAAACCTACAACAAGACACCAAGACAACATTCAGCTACAGGCAAGACAAACTAAAGAGCTAGTATGAAATGGATCCTACACGGAGTGCCAAAATGTACGTTTGTAGGCAACATACATGCAGGTTAGTTACTATGGAAAGCATATGAATGATAGAGGAAAGAAACAAAGTAACAAAAATAAATTCACTCCCTGCTATCACAAACTAAAGAAAAATCACCAGGAGCACAACAAACTAGTTGAAACACATTTCAATACAGAACTTTTAAATTTAATTTAAATTCTATATTCACGTGATTATGTTTGTATATTAAAGTTTTTAGAATACAATCTATATTTAGCAAAACACTATGATATATTAGCTTAAGATTTAAAAGTTTAGTAACTTTTATCCACTAAACACATTCATTTCTTAATACTTCGGAGTAAACAGGAGAGCATTTAGGGTCTATTTTTACCACTATCACTACATTTTCAAACATTCAGTGACTACATTAAATAAGGGGGGGAAAAGATGGGGAGATGGGGAAAGCAAAGGGGAATACTATTGAGTGTAAATTAGGCGAAAGCTCAGAGTCTGCTGACAATATGGCGGTGCCCAGCAGCAAGGCTTTTGAATGTCTACACAGGTAAATAACATGTAAAATATGTTAAATGCACATATAATATTATGATATGTTTGTTGAAATGAATGGTTTGGTGACAGGGTCTCTTTAAGCATCTACTCAGACATCCAAGTTTATCCTTTCTGCACAGGAATATGGTGTCTTGGACAGAACATATTGGGAGCTCCAGCTAACTTATCACTAGAGGACCTCCTCAAGCAAACATGAAAGTGGCGTTTACCAGCATTTTTGTCTTAACACGCTAAATGTTGGGTCCAGTAAACTCATCAATAGATATAAGATAACCATAGCACAATAACGATGATTTTGGATACACTAAGCAAATATTGAAATATCTATGGATATTGTTTATCCCAGGCAAGCACCAAGGTATGACTACTATTATGTGGATGTTGAGTGGAAGTTACTGAACCTGTCTGACCTTCCTCCTAGCTAACTACTATTGTTCTTTCTAGGCAAGGCTGGCATCAGGGGTGTCTGTTGCACAGATATTTAAAACACATAAGCTTACATATCTGTACACTCATCTGCAAAATATGATTATCTGGAAGTCAAATTCTCAACTTTGCTGTACATTGTCAGCTTTAGCTTTTAGTGAAAAGCCTCCCCTTAGAACAGAGTGCCTACCAGCACACTGTTTTGCAGAAACATTCTGTTGAACGGTAAACTTCAACTCCTGCATTTTGGATACTTGAATTGTGAACTATTTTAAAACACACTTCAGTGAGACACAATGGTTTAAACACATTCTGTGGAAAACATTGTTATGTGTCCTTACATTTTGCTTGCGTTGTGAACTGCAGCAAAATGTATGACAACAACCCTGGTAAAACAAAGCCTAAAAATGTGTGAGGCTTAGCACTGCAGGAATGTTGACAAGGTTTATAGAGGATAAGTGCACATAGTTTGGCATTTATGTGTCTCTGCATGGGGGGAAGGGGTGACACACAAATCAGTGCAATTTATTATCTATCATAATTATAGTTCTTTGGGTGTCTGGAGATTGTTCAGTTAAGAGTAGGGTTACTACAAGTGAGAACACAAAACAAAACAGGACATTCTCAAGAGTTAAAATGATGAAACAGCTGGTAAGTTTATAAATATAAAAAGACACATAGTAGCAAACTATAACCCCATGCAGTCTCTCTGATTTGAGGACACAATGACCAGTAAACTCCCTACCTATATTATTAACATACAAGGAGTCCCCACTCACCTGGAGGTTCGCCCAATTGGTGGTGCTGCTGCAGCATCCCCCGAGACATCAGCATTATCATTTAACACCTCTATATCATCATCTCTGTAGGAGGGGAAATACACACCCTATGTTAAACTAACCAGCCCATTGAAGCTTTACACCAAGCAGCTATGTTAGCATATCAATATGCACAGCCATTAGAAACAGGAAAAAGCATGTTCAAGTACTTAAAAGTATACAATAGAAGGGCGAATGACAACAGTGTCAGACAGGCAGAAAGTGAATTAAATTAGAAACAGTATTCTTTACATTCAAGTAAACAGGCAATGTTATTTTGTGTCTAAGCCATACAAAAATATAAAAAAAAAAAGGAAGCAAACAGTTCACAAGTAAAACACTTGCTATTATAAAACCTGCTTGATACTTGTGTTCCAAAAAACTGTGTACTTGGCTACCCACAGGCATAACAGTGTGTACTTGTCACATTTGACCATTATCCTTAAGCTGTACAAAGTTGGCGGTGCTCTGTGTCCCTCAGACACAGGGGATCACCAATCACACAAAAAGACCCAAAGATGTCAGCTCGGTCATGTGATCAGCTGTGTCCAATCACAGCTGATCACATGTAAACAAGGAAATGCCTGTTATCGGCATTTCTCTCCTCTCCAGCTGAGAGGAGAGGAGAGTTGTTAATCGGCATTCCGCGGAGGGGACATGTACACTGATCATCAGGGCACTGATGATCAGTGTGCCCTGATGATCAGTGTGACCCCAGAAGTGCCACCTGTCAGTGTCCATCAGTGCCAGCTGTCTGTCAGATCTGAACAGTGTCACGTGCCAGTGCCCATCAGTGCCACATATCAGTGCCTATCAGTGCACATCAATACCACATATCAGTGCCCATCTGAGCTTCCTTTCAGTGCTGCCCATCAGTGCCATATATCAGTGCCCATCAGTGATGCCTGTCAATGCCCATCAGTGCCACCTACCAGTGCCTCCTCATCAGTGTCCATCAGTGCAGCCTCATTAGCGCACATCAGTGGAGAAAAATCACTTCCATTCAAAATTTTATAACAAAAAGAAAAAACATTTTTTTTTTTCAAAATTTTCTGTGGTTTTTGGTTTGTTTAAGAAAAATAAAAAATCCAGAGGTGATTAAATACCACCAAAATAAAGCTCTATCTGTCACAAAAAAAAAATAATAAAAATTTCATATGGGTACGGTGTTGCATGACCGCGCAATTGTCATTCAAATTGTGACAGCGCTGAGAGCTGGAAATTGGCCTGGGCAGGAAGGGGGTATAAGTGCCCTGTAGGCAGGTGGTTAAGTGTTTTTATTTTGCAACTAAGATGTCTGCCTATGAAGGTCTCTCTCTTTCATGCAATTGCTAGCAATACTGTGGACTTGGCAATTGGAGGAGGAACACTTCCAATAAACAAGCCCACAATGTGTCAGTTTTAGAAAACAAGTGATTTTTCTACCTACGTATTACTATAAGGGGTCACTTCTTTTCAGTGAGTCTGTTTCTACTGGTGGTGTGTTCTGTGGTGGACGACGGGTATCCAGCCAAAACACTGTTTGCAACACAGGAGGATAAACACTTTATAATAACGTGAAGCACTTTATTTGCACTTTGCACTTTGTAAGCACTTTTGAGTTGACATATTTACTTGATGGTCACATTGTTGTGTGAGGTATACATTTGTTAAGAGTAGCTTATTGCACATATAATGGTACATTTTTATTTATTTATTACAAATATTGCACATTTTTGACATTTTATTTTTTTGGCTCTAGACATATATAATACATATATGTATTTTTTTATTTTTTGTGTTGCTAGGCAACTTACATTGAACAAAGATATCAACATGCTAATTTCCTGTTACCTGGACAAGAACTCTTGATAAAATGATCATACTTACTGCTCCACAGACAGAGGTTCCTTGGCAGCATCAGCCAGTTCCTTTTGAAGTCGTGCCTGTCTCCTCCTAGAGAATTGAAAAAAAAAAAATACAAAAATATAAAAAATATATATATATATATATATATATATATATATATATATATATATATATATATATATATATATATATATACATACATACACACACATACACACATACACACACACAAACATACACACACATACATATACACACACCGATCACCTGTAATCTTAACTTTTACTACTGATCAGTGATGTCACCCAAAATGAAAAAACGCACATTGTGAACAAGAGCTAAGGGAACTTCTCCTTTTCCCTCTCACTTCTATTTGTTTGGAACAAGCAGTGCATGTTAGCTGCTGTCATATGCACACTACACATCCCATAGCTCCGAGTTCAGCTTAGGAGGAAGTAAGGGAGGTTGGCTACATTCCTACATATAGTGGGACCACAGAGAACAAAAAAAAAAAAAGAAAAAGGAATTTGGAGGAGGCTGAACAACAGTAGGTACACTTTGCAGCTAAGAAAATACACTTGAATAGAATGTTTTTTTTCTTAAACCAGTGTTCAGTGTCATCTGAAAGTAACCTCATCCTACACACTTTTTAGTCATATACTTAACTTTAAAATAAAGTTTTAAAGACTTGCTTAATGCTATGTAATTATTAAATAAATGCAATAGACACAAAAATGCTAAATTTTAAACAGTTTTTGTGTCTCTGAGAAATAACATCTGGCAGTATAATTGATTAAGAAGCTTCAACTTTACTTTCATTGATGGTTATGGGTGGCCTTAAAAAGCCCAATTTAGCTCCCAAGCCTAAAGCTAACCACAGATGGTTCAGTGGGGACTATCTGAGATTCGAACCATCTACAGGCAGGCAGATTGTACCCAGTTCAATTGTTGTACAACTTGGGTACAACCAGCCTGTCGGAATTTTCTTGCGATCATAGCCGCTAGCAATAATCGGGGTGTTCTCCCAGCAGGGAAGGCTCCCTGCACCCTCCCACCAGGAGAACACAATAGCTCAGTGGGAGGAACTTGAGCAATTTTCTTTCCTGAACACCATGGTTGAAGAAAAGAAAATTACATCTTCTATGGCCTGCCTAACAATTTTCTTTGGGAACAATTGGCTCATTAAGGACTACACTAGAGTGGAATAATGAGCACTTGTCTTACAACTTGAATTGTCTCTGTGCAACTTGGCCAATGAGAAGAGGAGTCAACTGTACGTCTGAAGCTATAGTCCATTAGGCATGTAACTCAAAAAGTAGCAGCAGGGTTGGTGGATTTGTGAAGCTATAACTAAAAGGACAGCTGTCTCCCTGCCTGTCATTCTGTAGAAAAGATCCGTTTATCTATAGTTGGCCTAAGGCAGAAAAACAACCTGCTGCTTAACAGATATTTGAAAAAAAAAAAAATCACATCTCTGGTTTCTCTTTAGAAGCGCATGCTCAGAGGATTGTAGTCCACCAACCTTTGAAAGCTTTAAAGGTTATTGATAAGGATGTTGTACTGTCCTCTAAGGTCTGATTGTGCTGCTTGCTCTAGCATACATGCTGGAGGCTATAAAATCTTTACACTAATGCACAGAGAAAAAAGGAATCAATATCCTATAGCATACATAGCCTTTTACTGCCCACTTTCTATTTATAATATTTTCTAGATACCATCTACCCTCTGCAAAGTACTCTAAATATGAAATGTATTGTTCATTGTTTTGCGGATTGTGTCCTTCAACAAGAACAGAATAATAAAGCACCCCACCTGTCTGCCTTTAGAGTAGGTGATCATGTTAATTTAATTGGTTTAGCTAAAATCACACTTTTTAAAAAAACAAAAACAGTATTTCCTGTGCCTTTAGACTAGGTTCCCACTATTGTTGGTGTGGGAAGGCATCTAACCACATGCATTCCCTGCACATGCTGTCAGTCACATCACAAATGTGCTGCTTTTAAGCAGACACTCTGAGGTGCCATTAACCCTTAATGGCATTCCCTCACACCAGAAACTGCAGCGCAGTTTCTAGCACATGGAAACACATGATGCAAAAACATAATGTGATTTCCCTGCGGCCATGTTTTTGAAAAGGTGTAGGGACTTTTTGCCTGCATTTCAGCAGCCCATTCAAATGAACAGGCTGCTATGTGTGCGCATACACGGCCAGAGAAACGCAGTGGTATGAACCTAGCCTAACATGTGACACAAACAATAAACATTACTGCTTCTGAAGGTGGTACAAATGAAAGTGAATGAGCCTCACTTTGAGTCTTTCTCATTTTCTGCATTCAGGCGATTAGCTTCCTGAGCTTTCTCAGCCATCCAGCGGGTTACAAGCTCCTGATTATCCTCAGTGGTTTTCCGCAGTTTTTCTTCCAAAGCGGTAAAAGTAATCTGCAAGGCGTCGTATTCGTCCTTTAAGGTCTGATTAACTCGTTCCAGTTCTTGCAGTTTATTTCTTAATTCTTGGCACTCTGTCTCCAGAGTGTTAATGGAACGCATATATTCCTCTATACTAAAAAAGTAGACAGTGCAGTGGGGTTTCAGAATGGCAGAAACTGTCGGGGTTATACAACAACAAGGTCACTTCAAGATAATTGTAACATGGTAAGCTACATTTTCAGAAATAACAGGTGAAGCAAAAGCAAAACAAATCATAAAAAGTAAAGAATAACAAAAGGTTTTCTACTCACGCCTCTTTGTTAGCCTGGATTTCTTTGTCCTTCTGATTCATCTGGTTATTCAGTTCTATAACCGTCTGAGCCAGCTAACAGGGAGGGACATGGACATTTACTGACCGCCCATGGAAAACAGATCGAACAGTGTATCTAAAATGGTCATCTTCCCTGAGGCTACACACAACTGCTACTATTAACTAAGTTCAATTAGTGGCGAACGATTAAAGTAAATAAATAAAAAACCATGTGAACGAGAAACCTCACGCTATTATGATGATTTTTTTTTTTTCACATGCAATGGAAAAAAAAACCTTTTAAAAATAAATACTGGTAGTTTGAGCTTGTAGGTCCAACCACCTGCTATGGCCATAATGAGGGACCCTTACACTTTTTCTTGGAGATATTAATTTCTAGTTTATTTTCCATAATGAAATGACAGGAATTAAAGGGTTACTAAACCCGGGATCCTGCATTCACTATATCTGGGTCTCTCACAGTACACCAAACATGGAAATGCAATTATTTTAGTAAATATAAACTGCTAAATACTTTCTCATCAGTAGTATATAGCAGTCTCTGCTACTTCTATCACTGTCCAGCCGAGGACATGTTAAAGCTTGTAGGAGGAGTTTTCATTCTGTTCTAAGAGGATGCAGAACCCCTAACCTCTGTTTGGACAGCGCTGATCACATGCACTCTCCCAAGAAAAAAAAAAAAAAACCTCTCTAGAAATACATATCAAACTGAGCATGTGTAGAGTGACTCCACACGTCTTATCAGGAGATAAGAGGGGGGCACTGGAAGAAGGGGAGGATCAGAGAAAACAGGATCAAACCGCCTTTTTACACAATGCACAGGATTATCCCCACAGTGAGTATAACACGCATGCTTTACTGCATATGCAGACTGATTTTACTGTTATGGGTTTAGTAACAGTTTAAGTATATCAAATGGTGGAATATATACTTTTGCTATACTTTAACAGGAAGTTTTGCCTTTAGTTATACTTTAACTGTGTGCATAACAATGTGTATAGTATGTGCTGCTTTTACTATGCGAAGTGCCTGTTTTTACTCCCTGCTTTGCAGGACGAATAGAAACGACTCATTGCTGCTGTCTGTACAGAGCTCTGTGTTGTTTGTCAACACAGAGCTCTGTCCTGCCATTCGCTCAGCCGGAACCTGCTGATTGGCTTGTGCTGTATCGAATAACAGCACAGATGAGGAGGAGGATGTGCGCGCCCCCTACCAAGAAATGCCAGATCACGTACATGTTCTGCTGCAGAAATGCCGCCGGCCCACAGTATCTCTACATGGGCTGATCAGCAAGTAGTTAAAAGAGTACACTGATGTACTTATGCTTTTAAAAGCATGGTTTCCATTTAAAGGCCCACTCTCACCAAAAATATTAACAGTATAGAAGGTAGGTAACAGTACATAGTAAATGGATTTCCTCCTTTTCATATGCCTTTATTTACATTATTTGCTACATTAGAGTACATGTGGATAAATCCGTTCAGCAATAATGACAGTGACAAGAGTTGGGACAGCAATACGTAAGCAACTCCAGCAGCATTTTGTAACCATGTGAATGAAAGGCAGTCATTGAAAGTAAAGTCAACTATCAGTTTCTGTTCTAGCTCCTTCCTACAGTCACAATCATCTGGCCCAGAGCTACACTTATACTCAAATTGGTACATAATTGGCTACCACTGATGCTGTTGGTCTTCTATCTACCCACTCCCCCCCCCCAAGTTCAAGATCAGCTGCCATACTCACTGCTTTCTCTAGCCCCCCCTTCCCCATTCACAGTTAGTTCTGTCTTCTCTTGTACCAATTGTCCACATTCAACTACCACCCTCTCCCAATACACAAAGGGGGTTATTTATTGAAACTGCATGGTGCAAAATCTGGTGCAGCTCTGCACAGAAACCAATCAGCTTCCAGGTTTTATTGTTGAAGCTTAACTGAATAAGCTGAAATTAAAACAGCCTACCATGCACAGCTGCACCAGATTTTGAATGCACCAGTTTTTGCAAACCTCCCCCAAACTATCATACTGTAGGTCCACATATTCTACCATACCTGCAACTTCAAGTTCAGCTTCTAGTCTCTGTCCCTTAATCAGTTTAAGTGAGAGATGGCACACTGACCAAATATCTATCCGGCTACAAAGACTGTATGATTGGACAGTAATGCATAAAGTAATGCACCACAAACAATAAATAAATGGAACAAAAAAGCTTGAATAAAAGCACCCTAATATATTTAAAGAAAATGTTAAAGAGTACCTCCACTTTTGTGGAAATAAAGTGAGAAAAAAATTAATATAGCATATACAATTTGCCATATTGTAATTGAATGTTATTAAAAATTACCTATCTTTTTTTAAACTAAACTTCAGCCACTGCAAATTTCCAAAAAGTCAACACAATATGGCATCTGAAAGCGTTCTATGCAGAGCTGGTGTACAGAACACCTCCAGAAATGTCATTTCCTGCATGTGTGAAGAACTCTGAACTAAGATACAAGTCAGGTTTTAGGCATCCTCTGCAACAAAATTGTAAATTTTTGGTAAGATATTCCCCAAGGGTTAATCACATCAGAAGGAATAGAGACACTGCAACTTTTCTCAGCAGAGCACTCCAAGTGCACCAGCTGATTAAAATGAATTGACCACTCCCATTCAAAACCAGTGTCCAAAAGACATTGTGGGACAAACAGATTTTTCTTCAAAGAAACAAAAAGGTAGGAATGTGCATCATTGCAATGTAATGAGAATTCAAAAGGAAATGTTTTTTTCTCAACAAAAATGAAGTTACGCTTTATCCATCCTATCAGTTTGCATTCACCTAACCACTTTTGCTACTTAAAAAAAAATAAATACTAATAAACTATGATGAAATGTATTTATACTAAAACTCAAATGCTGCAGCTGAACTGCATCTTGTGCTTCCATACAAGCAGGTAATTAGCATTACATATCCGTTACCTCTCCACGCTTTTTATGGAGTTCTGTCAGTTCCTCCTGGTGTTTTATCCTCATCTGAGCCATATCTTGTAATATTGCTTCATTACGCATTCCATCCGGACCTGGGCTATAGTGAAGAAATGAAAAAGTTTGGTATCCACCATTGTGAAAAATATTCAAAAATAATCCTTATTACATTTTACCATAACAAAGAGGCAGCCGGTAGTAGTAGAACCTCCAAGCTCAGTGTCTTCAATAATTGAAGCATTGGCTAGACAGCCATGCAAAATGTTATCAGCAAGTATAAGCTCAGGCATACTTTGTAGTCGTCAATGCCTGTGGTTTGTTAATACCAAGAGTCTGTGACAAGTTTCTGTCAGTTGCCATATGAGTAGACAGATATCAGAACGCATATTGATGTACCTATCTATGATAAAACTCACAAAGTCAGAAAGTCATACTATGGCTTTGGCTTGACCACAACTCAGGTCCTTAGCATGATATGAACGAAAAAAAAAAATTATACTGTGAGTAACCCTTCATTAGTAGCAGCTGATGAGTTCTTAAGTTACCTACAGACACCAGTGGCAGATTTAGGCACATTAAGACCAACCAAAGATCTTTCCATAAACAGGCACATCTGTAATCACCTGAACAAAGTCATGCCTACAAATGAGTAGGGAAGAACATCAGCTTATCATGGGAAAACCAATAGCAAAGGGCAACAAAAATCCAACCTTGATGATCAGCTCTTCCTTGAGAAAGTTTCTGATCTGGCAATAAATGGGCAGAGGGGAAAAGATGATCTTTATGCCTTCAAGCATCTTTATGTTATAAAAAGCACAATCACTTTAAGCTAAGAGTCACAAGCTTATGAGTTGTGAGCAGGGTGGATAAAAATCAATGATTTTTTTTTTTAAAAATCAGATTTTTTTTATTTAAATCGATTTTTTTTTTCAATAAAATGCTTTTTGAGGATAATATATTACCATCCAAAGGTTTTTCCATCATGAAATAATGATTAGTTTTTTAATTATGTAGAATAAGGCTGTATATGTTTAATTGTTTTGGTAAATAAATTCCATGAATCCATTCACAATGTCATGCTCTTCCAGAGGTTTTTGTAAGATTATTGGGCAGTTTCTCTGCCTACAAGATATTATCACAGATGCTTGGTTTACTTTTGCAGTTCTCAAAACTGAATTTGACTCAGCGGAGATCACATGCCTCTTCTTCACGGCAAAAATGTTATAACATGAACAGAGTTAAGAAAAAGACCTTAATCCTAACTTCTACAAACCTATGAATACAGAATCAACCCCTTCAGTGCTAAGTTTCAAGAAGTTCAGTGAATAGAAACAATATTTTTCTGATTGTTTGGAGTGGAATAGATCTGCACAAGAAGAAAGTGAAACTAAGTGTGAGGAGGAAGGGCCTGACAGTCTAAGTTTCTTAAAATATATATATTTTGTTTAGCCAAATTAGTTAACAAACATGGATGTTTAAGCAAATATCATATGCTGTAATGTTATTGTTTCAGTTGAATAAATTTATTTAAATTGTTATTAAGGTAATGATTATTTTTCTCCTTCCTAAGTACAACAGAAAAGTTGTCCAAATATGAATGATTAACCTATTAAACTGGGGAAAAAAAAAAAACTAGTATGAAAAGCTATTCTAAAAATCTTCATCTACTTGCATATTAAAGTTATACCAGCAAGAATTAGTCTATGTAGAAAACTATGATTTAAATCAAGCCTTACTGACTAGTGATTTAAATTGTGATTTAAATCAAATCCACCCTGGTTGTGAGCATTTGTGCAGCATGAATAAATATGTTATGAGTGATCCAATAGGCACCAGAATTTGTCCACATTGTCCGTTGTGCTTTGAGATCTAATAGACTTGGTCAGTAGAGATGAGCACAGACATCCTCCAAACTCATCTATCTAAACATCTAAGTTGTGCCTTTTTTAACTCCAATCAGCACACAAGGGACGGGATGCTGGTGACATCGGAGCCCCTTGGACTTATGTCCATGTTTAGCCAACGCCATTGAAGTCACTAGCATCTCACCCATTTGTTTACATGTGTTTTTGGGTGGTGAATGGCCCAGATGTTCGAATTTAGATGTTCGAATAGAGATGAGTATGAATGTCGCCAATACTCATCTCTACTGGTCAGTCACAGCCATCTATTTCTCCACCCTACATGTGTGCGTGTGATGTGGAATGTGGCTGTTACAGCACAAGAGCTGAAGGGTAGGAAGCAATAAAAGGAAAACAAGGTATTTTAAAGAATTTTCAAGGTAGAAGTCATAACATATGATAGTACAGACTATAAAGAGTGTGGCTAAAATAGCGAAAGAGGGGGTGGATGGGAGATATTTGTCATGAAGAATGTGGACTGGGGTAGTCCCTGGCTCCAGGGAAGCTTGGAGAGGAAAATAGGTCAGTCTGCCTTTAAGAGGCTCATCATAAAAGTCTTCGGTTGAGCCTGCAGTATGGGCTGTAGAAGAAATCAAATGGGTCTGCAGGTTGGCTGCCCTGATCTACTTGTCCTTCTGTCAGCCTCTTGGGAAGGGCCAAGTTTGAAAAACTCTATGGATCACCATCTAACTCAGGCAGACTTTACTGTGCAGGAGCATGTGGAGGATTCAATCATCAGCTTGTGAGTTGTTGAGGCTGAACAAAAGCCTACTGCACGGACATGAGATCTTTGCTGAAGTAGGCAGAAATGTGTTTTCTTGTTCACTGCTGAAGTGAAACATTATTTTCTGTTAACTGTGGGAAAATAAATGTAGAACCATTAATCCCTACCAGAGACTGTATTGTATGGTACCTTTCTGCCACAGCTACCATCTGAGCACATTCTATTACAAAAGGGAAAAAAGATTGGGCTTTAAAGTGTTACTAAACCCAGGAACCTGCATTCACTATATCTGGTCTCCCATAGAACACAACATGGAAATGCAATTATTTTAGTAAATGTAAACTGCTAAATAACTTTTTCTCATCAGTAGTATATAGCAGTCTTGTGACTTCTATCATTGTCCAGCCAAGGGCATGTTAAAGCTTGTAGGAAGCGTTTTCATTCTGCTCTAAGAGGATGCAGAACCCCTGACCTTTATTTGGACAGCACTGATTGGTCCTGTGCTGATCACATGCACCCTCCCAAGGAAAAGAAAAAAAAACCTCTCTAGCAATACACACCAAGCTGAGCATGTGCACAGTATCTCCACACATAGGTCTTATCAGGAGATAAGAGGGAGGACATTGGAAGAAGGGTAGGATCAGAGAAAACAGGGTGAAGCAGCCTATTTACACAATGCACAGAATTATCCTCACAGTGAGTATAACAAGCACATTTTACTGCATATACAGACTGATTTTACTGTTGTGGGTTTAGTAACAGTTTAGGCTCCATGCACACGGGTGTTTTAATAACGCTGGGAACGTTAGCTGTGTAAAGTCATGTTAAATATGTGAGTTTTTTTTTTCCGCATTTTTGCATTAGCGTTTAGCCGTGTTTTTTTTCACGTGTGCGTTTGTTCTGGCCAAAAAACAAAAAGTGTTTTTATTTTGCTCAAAAAAAGTCCAAAAATGCTGGTTTGCTGCGTTTTACTGCGTTTGTCAGCGTTAGAGCATTTTTACAGATACAAAACTCCTAGAGAAATCCACTAGCTCTAGGGGGTTTTTTTTGCAGTCATGTGCATCCATGTGTGCATCTATGTGTGCATGGATACATACAGTCAGGTCCATAAATATTGGGACATCGACACAATTCTAACATTTTTGGCTCTATACACCACCACAATGGATTTGAAATGAAACTAACAAGATGTGCTTTAACTGCAGACTGTCAGCTTTAATTTGAGGGCATTTACATCCAAATCAGGTGAACGGTGTAGGAATTACAACAGTTTGCATATGTGCCTCCCACTTGTTAAGGGACCAAAAGTAATGGGACAATTGGCTTCTCAGCTGTTCCATGGCCAGGTGTGTGTTATTCCCTCATTATCCCAATTACATTGAGCAGATAAAAGGTCCAGAGTTCATTTCAAGTGTGCTATTTGCATTTGGAATCTGTTGCTGTCAACTCTCAAGATGAGATCCAAAGAGCTGTCACTATCAGTGAAGCAAGCCATCATTAGGCTGAAAAAACAAAACCCATCAGAGAGATAGCAAAAACATTAGGCGTGGCCAGAACAACTGTTTGGAACATTCTTAAAAAGAAGGAACGCACCGGTGAGCTCAGCAACACCAAAAATGTTAGAATTGTGTGTCGATGTCCCAATATTTATGGACCTGACTGTAGGATAACATGCTGGGGAGTTTACTGGCTGTAGAAAAAAAAAACACCAAAAGGCAAAAACAGCTGCTGTAAAAACATCCAGTGTGCATGAGGACTTAAGTATATCAAACGGTGGAAGATATAAGGCCATTATTAGTGCAAAAGACGATCATCATAAAAATACTGTTCACTAGGTCATTTTGCGCAAATGTGAACTGATAAATCACAAATGATAGCAGCAATGGAAGCTTACAAAAACTGAACAGTGAACAGCCTGAAAAGCACTGCATTTGTATTTACCTTTTATAACCTCTATAAATAATAGTTTGTAACGTGCTGCATACATCTGCAGCAATATATAATATGTCTGTAATAAATAAGTAAATAGGTCTGGTGCACTTTCAAAATAAGTACTACTTTAAAATGGTTAGTTTTGTTAGCAAGAACAATGCCTTTATTTTTCTTTGCTATACTTCTCACAAATGAACCTATAATAAAGAGAAGAAATATTATGCATGAATGAAGGCCTTACACTTGTCGCCTGCACTACCTGGTGTCATGTCGGCTCTGTAGATCATACTTCTCCGCTTGTAGTTTTTCGGCCAAAACAGACTGAAGGTCAGATTTTTCAAGCAACCTGTTATCTGTTGGGAAAAATAGCAATCAGTAGGCGAGGAAACCTCTCTGCCTCAGGGATCATCCACAGCTGGCAAGCTCTATGCCCTTGACCCATGCCATGTAGATGCTCATTCCCCAAAGAAGTCAATATCTTTCTACAGCAGTCCTCGGCCACAGCAATTAACCACTGAGCCACTGGATCTTTTGAACACTATTGTGAATATTATTGTAGAATGCCATTATCTGTCAGCTTTTCAGGTTTTCAGGCACAGTGGGGTTGATTTACTAAAATTGGAGTGTGCAAAATCTGGTGCAGCTCTGCAAAGAAACCAATCAGCTTCCTTTTTTTTTGCCAAAGCTTAATTAAACAAGTTGAAGTTAGAAGCGGTTTGGTTACCATGCACAGATGCATCAGATTTTACACTCTCCAGTTTTAGTAAATCAATTTCATTATGTCTACTGCAGTTTACTATTCTGATTTTAATTAACACTTAGAAGGAAATGTGCTCATATACAATTTAACTTGGTAGCAAAACCTGACCATCAGAGGACTCTCATCTATCAAACCAGGAGCACATTGGTTCTGGACACAGATGACTTCTCTTGTCATTCCCAATGGAAAAACGTAAGAGTATCAAACATTCACAGCTCCAAAAACCATCTGGTCACAAAAGGTCATCTATATTATTGTGTAGCAACCGTATTATATATGCTGTGACTTTCTAAGACATTAGAACGCTTGCCATGCAGTGTGCCATGGTACTGAATTAAACTCTGCCAGGATCACTATCCCCTTCTATTCTCCCCATATATCTGTAGGTCTCCAGGGTGACATCAGCTGTTGTGTGGCCTGGTTGGTGCTGCACAGGCATTTGTCAAAATCATCTCTACCAAGCCCATGCCACACTCTCCTACAGAAAATTCCAAAGTACAAGCTTGGGTTAATAAATTCAAGTGTAACTGCTCTAAGGGCCAGTTCACACTATAGAAACACAGTGCAGATGCATTACGGATGTGTTTCCGCATGCGCGTTTTTGCCGCCTTCCAGTGCATTTTTTGCCCCTCTCTTTTTCTTCAATTTAAATGGGGACATGTGCATTCCAGTGTGCTTTTGGTGCTTTCCAGTGTGTTCCGGTGCATTTTTGATGCATATTACCACATTCCAGTAAAGTTCTGTGCAGAAAAAAATACAGCATGTTCTACTTTTTTTCTGAAATGATAATGGACTGGAACTGCAGGTACTGATGTGAACTATCACATTGACAACCATATAACCTACTTTCTGTGCATTTTGGTGGCAAAAAAAACCCACTGAAATGCATGTAGCGTGCACTGGTCCTAACTGTGCAATGGCACTTTAACCACTTCAAGTCTGGACACTTTTACCCCCTTCTTGTCCAGGCCAATTTTCAGCTTTCAGTGCTGTCACAATTTGAATGACAGTTGTGCGGTCATGCAAACACTGTACCCATATACATTTTTTTAGCATTTTTTTGACACAGATAAAACTTTATTTTAGTGGTATTTATTCACCACTGGGATTTATATTTTTGCTACATAAATGAAAAAGTCCAAAAATTTTGAAAAAAAGTGTTTTTCTGATAAAATTTTGCAAAGTAATCTTTCTTCATAAATCTTGGCCAAAACTTATTCAGTTATATATTTTTAGCAAAAAAATTAACCCAAATTAGTTTTATAACCAAAAATTATTATATTTGTTTTTTAACATACTGTCACCCTAGCAGTACAGTGTCACCATGGTGACAGTGTACTACTTGTGGGGAGTGATGAAGATTTTTTTTTTTTTTACACCGATTGCTTTTACACCCATAAAGGCTGTAAAAGCAATCATTTTTCCTTCTCCCTGGCTGCATTCTTGCAGCCATAGAGAAATACTGTGAGAGCTGTGGTTGGTCACAGCTTATCACATGGTATAAGGCTGTGAATAGCCTTGTACCATGTGATCTCTGTGATCATTCACAGATTTCACACGTAGTAAGCAATGATGTAAGAAGTGACATCTTGCTTACTACTATTCATGTGATCACTGATTGGCCAATCAGTGATCATATGATCGGGACCTCACACAGAGGTCCCGTACAGCGATTGGTGTTCCCAGTGAGCGCGCACAGGCTAAAATGGCGGGCGCAGTTTATGAACGGCAACCCGCTCCTGCACTGCTCCCGTCCAGCCATTTATATACATGGGTCGGACGGGAAGTGGTTAAAATACAAACACAAGAGTATATGGATTTTTTTTTTTTAAAATTCACTTTGCGAATGTCTCAAGATTTGCGCAAGCCTAATGATCAATACCGGTAATGTTTGTAGTATGTGTGTAATAGTTTTCTTGTTGACTTTTGCGAGTCGAATGTAACATTCCCTAGCATTTGATTCTAAGAGAAAAATAAAAAACAAGAATATTTAACTATGAGAGTGAACATTCACCAATATAGAAAATAGCCCAACACTAGGGCTAAGAATATTCATCCAGCACAGGAAATAATGAGGCACATTCCTGCACTGTGTAGAGTTTATGGAGAATCTTGTGCGAATGGCAAATGAATGAGTGTTCAGCTGGATGAACCCCCAGCTACAGTTCAGAAGAAACATTTAGCCAGCTTCCTCCTGGTTGTTAGGGAGCTGGCACCCACAGGCATCCTAACTAGTGACTCACCCCTGCCTGGCACATTTAGCTGTCAGCTGGGGATTCTAGACTGACAGTTACATGTAAACCAAAAAACAGGGAGAGTGTAAACAACAAAAACAATGTGAGGCTCCTCCAAAATTCATACTAGGCCCTTTAAGTCTGGAATGGATTTTTAAAGAAGTAGGGCCAAAGCTCTTTTGGTCCTGCTGCTCCTATGGACCACAGGAATGCACTTAGTTCTGCATTCCTGTGACCCGTTTGAGCTGAAGCAGGCTAAAGTCCGCTGTCAGTAATTTTTAAATAGACAGGCGCTAAGCAAATACAATAAACATATGGTTACATATATAAAGAAAACTGAAATCACACAATGCCCCAAATTCAAAAAAACATCTGTTGTAAATTGCACCTATTTAGGTGCTAGGGGCATCCTATTATCTACTAACCAGTGAAAGTCCATATGTAACCATATTGATATTAGAATGTGACAGTCCTCTTAAACCACAGTGCTATGGCCATAAAGGAATGTATCTTCACCCCGTGCCCACAAGGTATAAAAGTGAATTGCTCACTCACCAGACATTTTTGACCGGTTAAGGCAGTCAAATGAGCATTGTTAGATAATACATAGAACCATACACTTCTGGTAATCCTAGGGTGTTCCTCCCCTTTATGAGCTCTTCACAGAACAAGCCCAGGGATGTAGCATTTCAGGTTACTAACAAACTCTCCAATTTGACTGGATACTCAATGTGGAACTCTACTTTCCTTGTGGGGAATAGTACCAGACCGCTCAAATAAACCAAAAGGTTTTGAAAGCATTCTAAGTGTAGCATTTATTAAGGTGGCAATAAAACAGCAACAAACAGATATACATTCACATGTGGCGGTGCCTAGTATATGGGGGGCACCAGTATGTACAGCTTGTGAATACGAAGTTGACTTCCTGAAGACGCCGCTGGATGAAATGTACGTTGAAGCGTGATTTACGTCATTTCTGGTGCCAGGGATGTGACGTCCGCCCCTAGCGAGAGCGAGGCTTGGAGCCATTTTCAGTATTCACAAGCTGTACATACTGATGCTGGTATACTAGACATCACCACATTGAGTATCCCAGTCAAATTGGAGTGTTTGTTGGTATGGGGTAGAATGGCAAGACAGAAGCCTTTTCATACGAAGAAAAACATCCCAGCCCGGCTAAAGTTTGCAAAAACACATCTGAAGTCTCCTAAAAGCATGTGGGAAAAATGTGTTATAGTCTGATGAAACCAAAGTTGAACTTTTTGGTCATAATTCCAAAAGATATGTTGGGTGCATAAACAACCACTGCACAACACCCAAAGAACACCATACCCACAGTGAAGCATGATGGTGGCAGCATCATGCTTTGGGGCTTTTTTTTCTTCAGCTGGACCTGGGGCCTTAGTCAAGGTAGAGGGAATTATGAACAGTTCCAAATACCAGTCAATATTGCACAAAACTTTCAGGCTTCTGCTAGAACGCTGAACATGAAGAGGAACTTCATCTTTCAGCATGACAACGACCCGAAGCATACATACAAATCAACAAAGGCATGGCTTCATCAGAAGAAGATTAAAGTTTTGGAATGGCCCAGCCAGAGCCCAGACCTGAATCCGATTGAAAATCTGTGGGGTGATCTGAAGAGGGCTGTGCACAGGAGATGCCCTCGCAATCTGACAGATTTGGAGTCTTTTTGCAAGGAAGAGTGGGTAAATATTGCCAAGTCAAGATGTGCCATGCTGATCGACTCGTACCCAAAAAGACTGAGTACTGGAATCAAATCAAAAGGTGCTTCAACAAAGTATTAGTTTAAAGGGTGTGCACACTTATGCAACCATATTATTTGTTTTTTATTTTTACTTCCCTCCACCTAAAATACTTCAGTTTGTTGTTCAACTGAGTTGTACAGTTTATAGGTCACATTAAAGGTGGAAAAAGATCTGAAATGATTTATCTTTGTCTCATTTGTTTACATCACGAAAACCTGACATTTTAACAGGGGTGTGTAGACTTTTTATATCCACTGTATGTGTATATATATATATATATATATATATATTTATTGTATTTGGATAGCACCTGTCTATTTAAAAATTACTGTTTGCACAAGTTGGTATCCATTTTTTAGAGGCAGCTGCAAGTTTTTATATCTTTAATACTAGATAGATTCACTAGGCGCCATAATAATCTTTTTAATTTTACCATATATTAAAGTCCACTGTCAGCTGACACCACTGAGCTGGTCCAGGCTCTGGAAAGAACTTTAACCATTTTCACTCCTGAGAATTTACCCCCCTTCCGACCAGGTCATTTTTTGTGTTACGACGCTGCATTACTTTAACTGACAATTGCGCGGTCATGCAACGCTGCACCCAAATTTAATTTACTTCCTTTTTTCCCCACAAATTGAGCTTTCTTTTGTTGG